GACTGATGAGGTACTACAGCGCCCCCACTGGACAAATTAGGTACTGCAGCGCCCCCACAGGACAAGTTAGGTACTACAGCGCCCCCACAGGACTAATTAGGTACTGCAGCGCCCCCACAGGACAAATTAGGTACTACAGCGCCCCCACAGGACTAATTGGGTGCTACAGCGCCCCCACAGGACTAATTAGGTACTGCAGCGCCCCCACAGGACTAATTAGGTACTACAGCGCCCCCACAGGGATATCCTGGTACTGCGCAGTATTACTGCATGTTCTTGTTTTTCCTGCAGACTTTGTGCTGTGGTTGGACAGTTCTGGTCGCGTTCTGCCCATCCGGTCTGGACCCTATGTCCATCCGTCCTGCATCACCGTAACGACCAAGTCAGCTGCAGGGGCCGTTGCCGCGGTGACCGCAGAGCTACAGTGCTTCTCTCCTTTTACGGCGCCGGAGGATGGCGTCGACCCCTCCAGTCCGGCGGCCAACGGAGCAGGCGGGGCCACGGAGGACAGGGCCTTCAGACCACGTCCCCCAGAGGGCCCCCTGGCCGTCACCGATGGCGGGCCCCTGGACTACGGCCCCTACTACGCTCCCGCGGCGCAGTTCTACACGGGTCTGGCCAAGGAGCCGTCAGTGGAGAGCCAGGACAGCTCCACCCTCAGCAGCCCCCCATCGGACAGTGCCGCCCCGCCCCCCGCTGCCCCGAGGGGCCCCGACTCCCTCTTCCAGTTCTCCATCGGGAAGATTCTGGAGGACGAGGGGTCCGGAGCCGCGTCGGAGGTCCAGGGCGCACAGATGGCTGGGTTCTACTCTGAGGGGACTGCCACGACCAGGGCGGACCCAGATGGCCCGCCCCCAGACCAGCGGCACATCCGCAGGTTAGTCCTCGTTCAGTAAATCGATTGTGGACCGCAGCAGAACCGGGCCGGAGCCTCTGATCCCAACCCTTCTCTGTGCAGGGTCATCCTGTCCGTGAACGACAAGTGGCACTACTGCCACAACTCTGAGGTTCTGGTCGGGTCCCGCGCCATGAGGGACCGCCACCTGCGACTGCTGGGCTACGTCATCCTGCAGGTCAGTCCAACCGTCCAGAATCAGAACCTGGCCGATCAGAGGAGTCCAGGTCCGCTGTCCTGCAGGCGTTTCGCCTGAAAGGTTCTGCAGAACACATCGGGTCAGTCGCCTTCAGGACGACGGACCGAGACCTGGAGCGCCCCCCGTCAGCCGGTCATGTGACCCGCCTCTCGTCTCTTGTCCCCTCTCAGCTTCCGTACCACGAGCTGGAGAAGCTGAACGGCATCGAGGAGGTGAAGCAGTACCTGCACCAGAAGCTGCTGGACGTCCCGCTATGACTGCGTCTGTGTGTGTGCGCGCGAGTGTGTGTGAAAGGGGGCGGGGCCAGCGCTCACCTGTCACTCCAACCGGAGAGGGAAGCGCATCCCTGATTGGTTAATAACTCCCATCAGGCAGTGCAGCAGCCTGCAGGTGCACTGGTGGTGTGAATGGTGTTTTTTGTGGGTGGGGTTCTGTTTTCTAGAGTAATGTAACCATGGTAACCGTGATGCATGAGGGAGTTTTTAAAGCATGTGCCAAAGGTTGGAGGGAAGGTGTGGTTCTTGGGTGAAAGGTCAGATTATTTATTTGTGTATCAGCAGAAGGACAGAAGTTTGTTTATATTCTATCAGCTGAAATGTGTATAAAAGCTGAACAGAACCGAGTCTGGGTCTTTATTTCCACCCATGTCATGTGATCCAAGCCACGCCCGCAGCAGAACCTGGAGCCATTTCCACTGAGCGGTTCGGGTCGGTTTTTTAATCAGTTTCCATTATGAAAGCATATTCCTTAGAACCCCGTACCGGATCAACCAGAACCGGACCGACCCGTTCAGTGTAAACTGTTGCAGTGATGAAACCAGACGGTTTGGAAAAAGTGCATTTATTGAGATTCTCTCGGCCTCCGGCTGATTGGAGGTCCAACACTGACTCCGCCCCCTGCATGTCGTCATGTACAAACCCCGCCCTCCCAAAAGAACAAACAGGAAGCTGTCATCCTGAAATGTCCATCAGATAAAAACCAAGTAAATATAAACTGATACACTTGTAACAGGCTCCGCCCACTTCCGACAGCACTGCCTCTCATTGGTCTGCCTGGATGACTGGCAGAGGAGGAGGCGTGGCCTGCACAGCCTGTCCTCTTCAATGAGTGGGCAGGGCTAATCTGAGTCCAACTCGCTGGATTCCTCCGAGGAAGATTGGTCGTCATCCTCCTCTTCATCATCATCGTTCTGAGGATACAAACAGGAAGTGGTTGAAAAGGTCCCCATGGTAACTGAACAAGGAGCAGGGGGCAACAGATGGCCTGGGCTCAGTGCCCCCTACTGGCAGTCAACAGAGCAAAGAGGAGGGACAGCGTCCTGCCTCAGGGGGTGGAGCTACACCTGTCCAGCTCCTCTTTACTTAAACTAGGACAAAGCTTGCCTGAACCTACAGCAGACTCGCCTCATCTTCATCCTCGCTGTCTGAACTTCCTGATGTCTCATCGTCTTCATCAGAGTCTGAGGAACCGCTCTTCTCCTCCTCCTCATCGGAGTCGGACATGTCCTGCTGAGAGTCCCACAAACACAGCGGTTCAGAGCCTGGCAGACCGCACCGAGGGCCCAGAGATGCTGATGGTTTCCAGCCTGTGGGGCGTGGTCCTACCTTGGCGCGATATGCCATGGCCCTCTTCCCCACGGCGACCCCTGGGGTCACGGCCCTGGCTCCGCCCACCTTCCCCTTTGCCGTCACACGGACCTTGGCCACGGGGCTGACGGTGGCTTTGGAAGAGCTGCTGCGGCGTTTCTGCCAATCAGAGATAGGCTGAGGGTCAGGTGACCTGCAGGGTGGAAGGGGAAGGGCAGCGGGGTGCGGCGGACTCACCGAGGAGGAGAACTCCTTGTAGACAGCTCGGTCCTGCGGGGACAGCGCCTGCGGAGGACAGGAGAAGTGAGCGGCGGCGGCGGGCTACCTGAGGGCTGGGGGCGGGGCTTACCTTGACCCAGGCCTCCAGGTGGGCCTTGTACTCCACCTGCTGTTCCTCCACCTGCTTCTTGTACTTGTCCTTCTGCGCCTGGCTGAGCTTCTGCCAGCGCTTGCCGATCTCCACCATGCGCTCCTTCAGGCTGAAGTGGTTCAGCTCTCCGTTCGTCAGCAGCTCCTGCGAGAACATCTGGTAGCCGCTCCTGGGGTCAGAGGTCGCACTCAGCGGGGACTGGACAGTGACCAGAACTGGGCCAGTTACCTGCCGGGTCTAGTACCAGCCCGGTTCCAGCCCTGGATAAGAACCAGAACCTGCGACGGCGGTCCCAAACTCACACTGGAGGCTTCTTCGGCTCCCCATCAAACTTGGGCTTCCTCTGGCCGACAGGGGCCGCTCTCATCTCCAACAGCTCCCTCTAGAGGACAGCAGCAGTTAACACACACAGCAGCCAATCAGGACTTAGAGGTCAGGGGTCAGGAGAGTACCGAACCTCGTAACGTTTCTGGTCCTCTGCTGCTTTCTTGATCCAGGGAATTTTCTCCTTCTTCTCCATGGAGCGCCAAGCCGCCTCCATCGCCGCCTGGGCCTTCCTGCGGTCGCTCTGCAGGGGTCAGAGGTCAGCACAGAGGTCAGGTCATCTCTTGTCATGCTGAGCTGCTGCTGCACCCTCCTCCAGTCCCACCCACACTGCCCCTCCCCCACGGCCTCTGACCCGGTACTTGGCCAGGTAATCTCCTGTCACGCTGTGCTGCCACGTCTCCTCGGCCGTTTTCGGCGTCTCTGGCAGCTTCGCTGCCTTCCTGGCGTCCCGCCGCTCTCTGGGCGCTGTGGCTCCACCTCCAGCTGCTGGCCACGCCTCTGGCTCCCCCTCCCGGCTCCGCTCCTGGAGCAAGACAGAGACTGTGCTCAGTCAGAGCCTCTGGTTCTGGTTCTGGTTCTGGTTCTGGCGGCACCTTGACCGATGGAGACTTGGCTCTGAGTGGGCTGGGAGCCACGCCCGCATTCAGCTTGGCTCCGCCCATTTTCTCCTCCGTCAGGACTCGGTCCCGCTCCTCCTCAGGAAGGCTCTGCAACACAGCGACATGTTACGGCCTGGACTGACCTCTGACCTCTCTATGTGAATGCTACCTGCATGTATCTGACCTCTGACCTCTACCTCGAATTTATCTCATTTGTTCCTATTGTCATGGCAACACATTGCTAGATGTAGTAGTGACTTTATGACCTTGAACATTTCCACTAGCATCAGTGACCAACTAGCTACTACTGTGGTCCTGTTACCATGACACTATCTGCAGCCTGGTTCTGGTCCAACATGACCTGCTCACAGAGACCAGAACCTGGCCTGGTCAGGGGGCGGAGCCTCACCTCCAGGAAGCGCTGCAGGTCCACGTCGTACTGCTTCTTTTTCTGCAGATAGGAAGTGGTGTTAGAGGCAAAGGGAGCCGGGTCGGTACCGGTCAAGTTGGATCGGGACCGACCTGCTCGCAGCGCTTCTGGAACATGTCCTTCTCCTTCTGGGTCAGCATCTTCCACTGCTTGCTGCACAGCACCATGCGCTCGGTGCTCGGCACGTTCTTCATGTTCACCATCAGCTCAGCGCAGTACAGGGAGTAGCCGTTCCTGCAGGGGTCAGGGGTCACTAGGGGTCAGGTGACCCAAATGTTGGACCGCATCACATTTGCCATCAAATGATTAGTTGATCCAGGACTAGTTGAACATGTTGGCCTAATATGTTGTAATTTTCCTACAACATATTTTTGATATGCCAGAACTTATAATTACTTAAAAAATTTACATCTTTTGTTATATTTTTCAACCACAGAGGTCGCCATTTTTTCACCGATAGGTTGATGACGTCATCAGGTCCATTCTGTACTGGAGTCTACAGGGAAACAGGAAGGCTAACTTTACCCCAGTAGTTGTTTATCATATTGCGTTCGACTGGGTCATTTTAGATAATCCCACACTGTGTTGCTATCGGCTGTGATATTTTTTTTTTAATAAATAAATAAAAATTGACAGTGTTGTGGTCAAGACCACCTAACCCGAGACCAAGACAAGACCAAGGGAAGTCGAGACCGAGACCAGCGCCCTGCACTACATGACAAGATAAAATGTGAAATATGATCAAAATTGCTTCTCAAATTGATCTGAAAGATCCATATTCCCATAAAAACACCTAGATATTAAATACTTAATACATTTTACCAATATTAACTATTTACCATCTTTGTGCTACAATCCGCGGTGGTCTTGTGCCATCCCTAAAAAGATAACGCCCTGGGCTTTTACCCATATTGCTCATGTCAGAAACCACCACTCTCTGCACCATTAAGCATAACAATTGAGGCAATGCCCTGATGCAGGCGCGGAGCTATAGGGGGCACTGGGAGAGCTGCTGCCTCCCAAACCGGGCCAAATGGGGGACCGGGCCTGGAGGTGCCAGGGAAGGAGGAGTGGTTTCAAGTCAT